TATTTTTTGGAAAATAAGACGTTCATTAATTAAACGAGCGAAATGTTGCATTGACATGGATGGTGGAATTTTTGAACAATTCTTATAACTTCTTTTGGTGTTATTTATTAAAAATTTAAGGGCTTTTTGTTAATGTTTTAAGTTAAACTTTTTATTTTTGTTAAAATGTTAATACGTTTTGTTTAGATTGTTTTTTTAAGGTTTTGGTAAAATTTTAAGTTATTATGAAAAATTAGTAATAATCATCTTTTGAATCATTTTGATAAAATTAACTATGATTGGAAAAAAATTTTGTAGACAATGTACGAAGTAATTTTTTATCACCCATTTGACAGCTTAAATCAAACCAATGAAAGAAGCCTATTAAGATTTTTAGTGATAGTTTAATACACATGTTTGTGCGAGTATTTTACTTGGTATTATTTATCTTGAAAACGAGTGGTCGTAGACCATTTTATAAGCAGAACATTTTTTATGTATTTTTTCCGTAGATTCTAATTTTGAGGTTAAAATAGTGAAAAGATCAAAGCAAAAAAAAAATGGGAAATAAATTGCGCCCCCTATCCCTTATTTCCGTAACCGCACATTACTTCTAATTTTTTATTCGATTATTGTATTCGCCCCGTAAAAATAGCTGGATATGCAAAATTTCGTGTTTCTAACCCTAGTAGTTTTTGAAATAATGAGAAATAACCTCATATAGAATGTCTTCTTCAAAGCGCTCTACCTCCCTTAGGAAGCATTTTAGGACACCTTTATATGAACTTTTCTTAATGATTTTTTATGCAGAATCACACCTTTAAATATATGAACGCAATTTCCGGGCACCTATATACTAGCGACAATATACGTAGCCATCGATTATTCGTTACATCGTTCTTATTTCTGGCCAGATTGTATTTTAAAATTAAATTTATAGTTTATCTATTATCTGTGTATTATCTGTTCGTGCGTGTTGTATTTTAAACCTATAAAAACGCGCATATGTACATTTTATTTTCATTAGTATTTTCGGTTCCAACGCGTAATCGTTAGCAAGTTTTTTATAGCCACAATTCTTCAATTAAGTTTAAGTCAAGATATTTGTGGCGACAAAATTACTATGTCGGAAGCAAAGAGGAAGAGACGGCAATACAATCTGGAATATATTAAATACGGATTTATAGAAAATCGCACAAATCCCTCTACGCCTATATGCCTTGTTTACCAAAAAAACATTTTCAAATGGGGAAATGAAGCCCTCTAGGTTACAAGACCATTTGACCAAAATGCATTTTGACAAAAAAGATAAAAATGTGACTTATTTTCAAGAGCTGAAAAAGAAGTACGCAGATCAGCCAACTATCTCAAAACATCTTTTCAGCGGTTTTTAAATAAGATGATGACGGACTTAGAGCTTCGTACACAATCTCTATTAATTGTTCAAACAGGAAAACCACACACAATTAGGAAAGGACTAATTTTACCAGCAGTAGAAAAAGTTATAACTACTGTGCTTCATAAACCAGCGGCAGATATTATTAAAAAAATTGCTTTAAGTAACAATTTCGTACAAAGACGAATTGATGAGATGGCTGAAAACATCGAAGAGTCATTGTGCAACCATCTGAAGACTAATCAATTTTCAATTCAGTTGGATGAATCCACTTTACCGACTAACGAAGCATTGTTGTTGTCACACGTGAGGTTTATTAAAGACGAGAAAACATGTCAAGAACTACTGTTTGCTAGAAAATTAGAGACAGATACAAAAGGAGAAACTATATCTAATACACTAGAAAAGTTTTGTGAAGAGAAGGAAATTCCGTTGAAGAATATTATATCAGCTGGTACGGACGGCGCTCCGACTATGAAAAGGCGTCGCAAAGGGTTCATAGCATATTTAACAAATAAAGTTCCAGACGTGCTCGCTGTACATTGCGTTATCCATCGGCAACATTTGGTTGCGAGGAATTTCAGTCTCCATCACCTCAACATGTCATCAAAGCAGTCAATAAAATCTGAAACAGCTCTTTAAATGACAGATTATTTAACCAGCTTTATGTTGTTAATGACGAAGATTTCAACTGTCAAGCAAGAGGTACTTGTTTGACTCGTTTTTACAATTTGTTTAACTCTGTGATAGTGTTTTTGGAAAACAAAACAACTCCTCACCACATCAAAGAATGATATTGCGTACTAGGCAGACTTGTATAAATTATTTAATGATATCAATCTCCAACTTCAAGGTGATGACTTAAACTTGATTAAAACAAAACTTGCGTTGCTACTTTCGTAGCCAAACTGCTTTTATATAAGAAAAATATTGGCAGACGTGAGTTTCACAATTTTCCTAATTTATCATGGTATCTTTTAATAACGACGATTTGCTTGTTTACTGCCAACATTTGGAGAACCTTCACAGTGATTTCCAAGAACGATTCCAGGACATTTTAAAATTGAAAATACCGGACTGGATCCTTTTTCAAATGTTAACACAACAGAATCATCCCAGCTGGAAGAAGAACTAATAGAACTGACAGCAAATGAGGAAATCAAATTTAAAAACGGCTACCAAGAATTTTGGTTACAAAAGCCAATACCGCAATTATATCCTGGGTTGTTCAACGATTTTTGATAGCAGTTCCATGGTCGTATTTGTGTGAACGTGGATTTAGTGCTGTAACAACGCTGCTAACTAAGAAAAGAAATCGTTTGCATGTTACAGAACGCGGTGATTTTTGACTAAATTCGAGCCTGATATCAATAAACTTTAGATTCATCCTTCACATTAGATTAGTTCTAAAATTTAAATTGGATTGTTTGTTTTAATTTGAATAAAAGCTTTGGTAAAAGCACAAAACCATTGGTACAGTAAAAACACGAACTATTTTTAAAATACTTTAAATTAAACTAGTATTTTGTGTTCATCCCTTTTTATTTAATAACGGCCTACAAACGCCTTAGCATTGAATGTACCAATTTTGTACCATTCCTGTAACAATGCTTGTTTCAGCTCCCGACCTGTTAGTAATTGGTAGTTTCTTTTTAACTCGTCTATCCAATTCCTATACTTACAGAGTATTGAACTTACTCTCATCTGAGAAAAGTATTTGATCCCACACTGTATTTGGTTTATTCTTATATTCGTTGGGCAGTCTAGGCAATTCTTTTGGATACGCACAGATATTAATTGCTTTAGCCTCGCAATACGTGCACTATAACCAGCCTGGTGGTACTGTTCAGACAGTCATGGGATAAATCCTTACAAAAATCTTATTTTTCGGATTACGTTCCCGATCGTTTAAAACTCGAGGACGGCCAGTATGCTTAGCACTTTTGAAATCTTACTAAACGTACAAATCTTACTAGACTTAAAGGAGCATAAACTCCTTTAAGTCGGTTAATAACGCTGCGAATAGCATGTCGTCATCTGTTCATCATTTCTCCAATCTCAGCATACGATCTGCCTTGGTTGTGCAAAAAAACAATTATTTTGCGTTTAGATTCGGTGCGGTCGACCCATTTTCATATTAAACTACTATAGTTGATAAAGACAAAATGGAATTCGGTTTAGAAATTAAATTAACTGCCAATACAGGAAAAAAATAAAGACATATATTTACGACTTTTGATATATCAGCTTTATCACCAATAATTTTGTGCAGTGAAATCCCTACTTTTTTATTGATTTAATTTAAAAACAATAATTAAACTAAATTCTTACACAAAAATAACTGCATATTTAATTAATTGAACAATATAGGAAAAATACTTCACCTAGTCCTACTAGTCCCATTTGTCAATTAAGTTTAAAAACAGCCATAAAACGATTGCTATGCCAATAATTTTGCACTATGTATGTACCATCCAAGAAACGGATATAAAACGCAAAGCACAAAGAGAATACGATGATTATATGCTAATATACATATAGTGGTGTAGAGATAGATCAAAGGGCGAAAGCAGGCGGTTTTCCATTCTCTATTTGTAGTTAAAATGTTATGTTTTAATGATATGTTACCGAAGAATGTTGAGAATACCTTGGGTATCGCACTAATGCATCCATTCATGCAATTTAAAAGCACAGCATGGAAAACTTATGGCACAGTGAAAAGTTAATGGCAAAAGGTTTCCCAAGTATTGCGTACTATAGCAGACAGAGAGCACGACGTCCGAAATCAGACAACGACTGAAGAGATTTTTAGCTCCGTTGTGGGGCTAATTCTCTCTTCTTTTTGTCTTCCCTTTCCGCATTCATTTATTTCGCTTTGCCTAGCTACGTATCCGTAATGTGGCTCTGACCCTTCTACATGATCACTACCGGTTGTAAAGCTGTTTATTACTCGCACATCCTTTACTAAGTACGTCTTGTTCCTTATTAATTTGTCGATGATCTCGTTGCGTGTTTTATCGTACGGGCTTTTCTATGCCCATCTCTAATGAAGTTTGTTTTTCCAGTAAATAGCTTAGTAGATTTTCACTTCTTTCATTTCTAGCCGTGCTGCTAAAATATACTCTGGCCGATCAGATTTTATTGCAATTTTTGCATTAATATTATGAAATCGGCCCTAAATTTAATTTCATCGTCTAACCATACCAAAACACTGTTATATATTCAAAGATATCATTTAAAATGCATCAACACTAATATCAGTTAATACAACAGTGCATTTAAAGATAAAGTTTGAGTTCCTTACAATAAGGATGGAGTAAATTTTTAAATAAGTATTCAGTTTGAAATCTTTCCTACAATAATCTTTTAATAAAGAGGTTAAAGAATATCTTTAGCAAAGGGGTTCATATCAATTTAATCTGCAATAAAACATTTGTAGATTTGATCATAAAAATTGGTGAAATCACATTTTACCAGCAAACCAATCAAAAACGTGTTAAAACGACTTAGATACGAATTATTTAGAAAGATTTGTAAGAAAGATCTGATGCAATAAGCTTTTATTGCCCATATTTTGGCTAAATCAAAAACGATATTACAATTAACACCTTTTATTTCTTTAAAGTTCCAGAACGAAAAACATAACAAAGTTTAAAGCTCTATTAAAAAACGCGGCAAATAATTATTTGGACAACAAACAACGAACATTAGAAATCACTACAGAAAACTCCAATGGATACTCCACTGAATACAATGGAGAGATATTCAAGAAAATCAATGCAAAAATAATTGGTGTAACCAAACAAAGCCAACGTTACAGTTGTTATGAAAAGGAAGAAGATACACAACTTCAACAAGATTCATTTAAAAATGATGTTACTACACCGATTAAAAAGTATGAAAACAGGTGAATTAAAGTAAAAAACTTTTTCGTATTTTTTTTTGTTTTTTTCTTTTCAGTTATTTACTACATACCAACCTACATCATCACGCAGCTCACGTCGAACCGCAAACATTTATTTCAACTTTAGATATTTACACTCCCCTTTTAAAACCAGAGATTGAAAGCGAAGCAATATCAACTATAGAACATTACAATACACCCAAATACATGGAAATTCCGTACATGCACTCCAAAATTATTATCGAACTCACCGAGTCAACTTATGTCACCTTTCCATTGAATACTATATCTAATATGGTAGCTAAATTCCTTGATGATCTCAATGATGACAATTTCATAATGATGACAATATCGTCATTTAATCATGAAAATCCATCGATTCCTTGCCATCCAGAATACACCATGATTTTACAAAAATCAGAATTAAATCTAAATGACAATAAGGAACTTTTAGCGTTTAAAAGCAAAGAGGAATGGTTCGAAAATCAAATGTTAATCATGAGCACTACAAATTATCAAAACAAAAAAATGGATGTTGCAGCAAGTTTTTATTCAGTTGATGGTAAAGGTCTCAAAGTTAAATATATTGATGATAACATCACTCATTTTGATAATAAAGATGGCATTCAGAACGGTGGCCAACTAGAAAACTGTTCATCTGGACGTAACAACAATGAAGAATTATTGTTGTTGACTTCAACGAATGAACCACCGATGAATAACGATATAAAAGTTAGAATTGAAAATGATGAAGATCAGATATTATTCATGCCAAATACTCAGTTGCCTGTGGTGTGCAAGTATTGGCCACTTATTTTATATTTAATACTTTGCGCTTCCCTCTTATTATACTATTTCTTTTTTAACAATATACCGTCCGGCGACACCACAGTGGCGTCGCGCACAAATGATCGCTCAATGGCCGGCATCACCACATTGGTGTCGGCCAAAAGTGGTGTCGGTCGAAGTAATCTGAATTAGTGAAGACATTAGATTTTTGACGGGGACTGGATAAATAAAAGAAATTAATGTATTAATAACATAAATAAATAATACAGAAAATGGAGAGGAAGAAAATAAATACTATAAAATTTGAAAAGATAAAATAGTATGATGTATCAGCTGTTAGAATAAGAGTGGATGGAATTATATACGAATTGCAGAGAAAATAAAAAAATGTTACGCTTTATAAGTAATGAACGTACATAAAGTTAATAATATCTTGATAATAGTATAAAGTAATATAATAACAGTATAGAGACATAGAAAATGTGCGATGAGTCAGTTATGTAGAAAAGAAACGGTTGAAACTAAACGAAGTATGAATAGGCGTGAAACGATATGAGTATTACAAAAAAAAAGTGTAAAACATAAACAGATGCCTTGTTGATGTAATATCAGATTTTATTGTAGATAGCACATAGAAAAATACAAAAGAATTGAAAAGACTCTGAAAATATCGCTTTAATTTTTACTATAGTTTGATTTCGTTAGTTATATTAGTGCAAAGATTTAAAATACAAGACATGTGTCATTATGAAGATTGACTTTTTATTTCATTATTTATTTTATACCCTATACATATGTTTATACAGTAATTTTCGAATTTTCGGAATTTGACATTTGAAATCTTTCTTTGTAAGTAAATTAAACTGAAAATTGTGTAGCTGTTTGTAAAATAAAAAAGAATCAGTCAAATCTGCTCTTTTTCTGTAAATTTAATTTGTAGTTATATTATCTCTAACAAGTTTATCATTTTAATATTTAAGTCAAAAAGTAAATGAAACAATAACTTGGTTGTGTAAAATTCGATAATTCGGTTAATTCGTACCGTGTTATATCGAAATAAAGTCTTAAGATAGCTGAAATTTTGTTCCAATAAAACATACCAATGAAAAAGTAGTTAACTTCGTGTTTAATCAAAAATAAAAATATGAAATACAGCATATTAATCAAATTTCCGTTTTTTACGGAATTTAAGTTAAGATAGCAAAAAAGAAGGTGATTTTAAATTAAAAAGATTAAAAGTTTTAAGATATTTAAAAGTTTGTTATAGGGTAGGGGCGCCGTTTAAGGCCACTGTACCATTTATGGCCATTTCAGAGGAAGTCGTTGCGCATTAAGATCCAAATAGACAGTAGTTGAAAAGTAAGTGCATTACAGGGCTTTGTCAGACCCTAATTCATCACAGACGGTGTTAGAACGTTTCCAATATTGAACAATTTGAAAATGGTTTCCATGTTTTAGCTGATGTGATGTGCTCGAAAATCTTAGCAAAAACGGTAAGAGCAATGCACATTTAATCTTTTATTATCTTTAGCGTCGTTTCATATTTAAGCGATCTTATGAACTATATGATCACAAATACGTTAGCGTCAAAGTATTTAATAATATTATAACTATAAATTGAGGTTAAGCGTATTTTTGTTAACGTGGCCATAAGTAGAGCGAATTTTGTAAAGTTTGCCAGTTATGGCCATGATGTGGCCATAAGTGAATTAGCGTAAACCGAGTTATGGCCTTTCTGTTAAATTTGATGCTTTAATGGATTTTGAAAACTCCATTTTCCAACAATAAGCCCGGCAAAAAGTGGTTTACTTCTTTCCTAAATAGACACCCAGAAGCATGTTGAATATGTCAACAAGGCAAGAAGCACTGTTACTGAGGAAAAAATACGGAACTGGTTTAAGGAAGTTGAAATTTTACTCACAGAAGAAGACATTGTAGCAATAAGGGATCCAGAGCGCGTCTTTAATATGGATGAGACTTGCTTCTGTTTGGCTCCAAAAAGGAGGACTCATTATCAGGCCAAGAGGACAAAACGTTTACAATGAATCTACAAATTTGGATAAAGAGAATGTGACAACTTTATTTTCGGTCAATGCATGCGGGCAGTTTGGTTGGAAACATTACCAACGATACTAAATAATCCAGTTTCAGATATTCGAAGCTTCTAATGAAATAGTCACTAAAGTGCAAAGACCCAAAATTTCAAACTCCCAAGAATGTTTACCTCGTCAACTAAAAGGAGAATTCTCCGAAAAAGAGAATGAAGGTGTTGCTCAACAATTGCAGGATTTGTACTTCAACAGCAAAGCCGAAAGTGTTGATCCATCAACATCATCAACGTCGAATATACTTGTCACGCCTAAACGGTCTCTTGCCTCAGTGATGTCATTCCTTGATCACACCATAAGCCGACAGTACGAAAAAGGAAAAAAGAATATACTCCAAGTGTTGTTACGTCTGACAAATGGGTGGAATATTTTGAACTCAAAGAGAAAGAGAAGAAAATTCAAGAAGAGCTGAAAATGGAGAGAAAGAAGAAAAGGGTAATGCAGAAAAATAAAGTAGAGGAAGCGCAGAAGGCAAAGAAGACAAAGGAAAACTGTTTAGAAGAAGAGGAGGAAGAAGAGGAGGAAGAAGAGTGGAATGAAAACAGGAGCAGCTTAGATGATGTAGACGATATTGAGACAGAAAATCAAGAAACAATTGATATGTATGTAGTTACAGTCCTGCAGAAGTGTGTTCAAAAATTTTGTGCGTGTTGGATGACGATGAGTTTGAAGTACGATATCTAAAAAGTTTAGATCAGACTAATTGTAAGACACATTTCAAAGTGTTAGACAATGGCAAATGTGCCATTACAAACGAAGAAATCCTTGGAACGCTTCCAGAACCCGAACTGAAAAATGTTGGTCGAAAGATGACGATTGTTTTCCGCAGTGCTGTAGACGTATTTGAATAATAATGAAAACAATAAATGTATTCATCTCCTTAACTTTTGTTGTATCTATGTGCCTAATAAAATCTAAAAATTGTACTTTATAGTACAAACAAATTATAGTGGCTATAAGTGGAAACTTTTATGGCCATAACAGTTTTGGTGGCCATAAATGGAGAAATTGATTTACTTTTGAAATTTTTTTTGTGTTTTAAAATACTTGATACGCAAATAAAATAGAAGGTGCCTATATGCAACAAGAGCTTAGAAACACTATTTTGATTTTTTCTCGCATGTATTCCAATTTTTAACTAAGATACCGCCAAATGTGGCCATAACTGGTTTCTCTACCATTATAAAATAGAGACTTTAAGGTTTAATTTAAACCAAAGATTATTTATTAATTTCAATAAATATAAAAATGAGATGAACGTTATCCAGCCCGTTTTATTTGCTCGCCAGAAGATTGGTAGATTGGACTTATTTAGGTTTTTCATTGCGCTAGGATACATGGTACGATTTACTAGGGCAACACTGATTCTGCAGCAAGGGGTTTATTAGTCAATTTTAGGTAATTTTGGGTGTAAAACAAATTTGTAATTGCACGAATAAATTCTATTCTATTCCTGAATATGAAAATAATAACATTTTTGTTGAATTGAGTCTACTTTTTAAGACAAAGGCAATCCATTTATACTGGAAATTAAATTTTAAAAAGATGAGAATATTTTTAAAACGTTATTTTATTATTATCAAATGATTTCAAATAAACAAAGTGCCACAAATGATACAAAAAATAATAAAATTAATCATAAAAATCAAAAACATATCAATAAGAGTTAAGAAAAACGTTTTGTATGGGATTTTCTATGGTGTTTTTAGTCCGGACAGTCTCTTTGCAACTTCCAGTAATAGTTTGCCATCATAAGGCGATCCCAACGGCCTTGATATCTTTGCTCCATAACCTGGTGGAATGGTTTCCGTTGTTCTTCGCTATAATCACCACAAATAATGCTATTTAATACTCATATTAGCCTTTAATTTTTGGAAATGCTGCAGCATTTTGTCTACTATTTCGGAATTGTCTCAAAACATTTTTGACAACTGATACAAAGCTTGTCCATCCTGCCAACTCAACTTAAGTCATGTGGTTTGTGAAATCATCGTTGTTTATAATAGTACGGATTTGAGACCCATTAAAAATTCCTCATTTTAACTTTTCTATGCTGAGACCAAGAAATAAATGACAAATATATTTAAAGCTTTAACAAACTCTTTTGTTAGCCTAAGTTTTATATGTAGTGGCAGAAGAATGATGTTAGCTTCTTCTACAGTCATGTTCATTCTCTATGGCTAGACTTTCCTGCTCCACTGTTCACTTCACACACGGTTGTCCCACAGACAAAGAAAACATTTTTAAATCTACACACAGTGACCACTGATGATGATATGAAGTTAATATTAAATATAATATTAAATTCAAGGGTTCAATTATTCAACCTAAGGTGATATCCAATGAAGACGTGGGAGAGAAAAAAGCAACGATCCATTAACGACTAAATCAAGGAGAGGAAATGGCGTTGGAGGATTGACCACACACTAAAGAAGCCTTATGGAGCATCTCAACTACCAGTGCTTGACTGGAAACGCCAAGAAGCACGGAGACAAGGGCGCTCAAGAAGGACGTGGAAGAGAACTGTTAAGAAGATGCAATAGAAGCCGGGAAAACGTGGAGAGAAGTGACCTTGCTGCCAACCGGACCAGATGAAGAGCCTTTACTGCTGCCCTATGCTCTACCAGGAGCGACAGGAAATAAATCCAGTAATTTTCTTAAATGAAAAGAAACTAACATTTCATCATTTACTTTTCATACAATCACTTATAGTAATAGTAAGCAGTAAACATATTTAAGAATAACGAATTGGTGACCGACATGGTAAGAATAAGTAAAACTAATGTTTTTGTTAGTCAAAATTATGGACATATGGTTCATATCATAATATTAAATTTAAAATTTTTCTGTAATTTGATTTTTATATTGTGTTGCTTAAACATAATTAAAACATTCACAACTAAAGTTGCAGATGTTCAGATCATTCTTGATTTCACATCATATTTGTTGATATACTATTATAAATCTAGATCCTAGATTTTGTTTGCTCAGCTTCATTTTTATGGTAATTTTTTAAAAGAGGTATATTAACAGATGATACCATCAAAATATTTGTTAATGTAAAATATTATTATATTTTACTACACTTTAGATAGTCTTGTAAAAACATAATCAAAAAAAAAAATTAAATCTTAAAATCTATAAATCTTACATTTCATTATGCTGTTGTTGACGTTGATCCAATCCAATTTTAACTAAATCCAAACCAATTTTATTCTCACGTGCATTAATGATGCTCTGATTTTCATATGTGTGCCGTTCTTGCGGCTCTGAAATTCCAATATAAGTATACTTGGTTGTTGATTTCTCCTCCTCCGTTCTACCTAATTCACTAGTACTTCTGTTTAACGTCCCAAACCGAGTACTTGCAGCGTCTGAATTTGATGACGACGATGATTGTATGTTGGTCATCGAAGTGCTCGACTTTGGAAACATTTGGAACAGCATTTCGTTTCCGCCTCCGCCTCCAAGACTGCGTCTATTTGCGGTATTGTAAACAGTATGGTTATTAGAGGTTGTTTGGGGCAACTCGGAGAATGATCTACGATAACCGGCCTGTTTTTGCGCGTAGGAATTTTGTGGTTGTGATGAAGGATGACGAAGGGCTTCATTATCAGCCCAATTGTCCACCTGTGGCACGACCAATTGTACTATTATATCGAAAAATTTGGTTTTTATCAAAACGTCAGCAAAATAAATAAATAAAAAGGGTCAAAAAATAAATCTCTAAAGAAAGATGATTAAAAACATTACACGTTAGAAGTATTTTTTTAAATAATTTCTTGTTAAATTTTTTTTTGTCTTTAAATATGAAAATAAAAGTCCGTGTCTTAAGACGACTAAACCTGAATCTTTCTAGTGCGAAGTCTAACGCTAGTTCTAGATTTAGTTCAACAACAATACAATATGTTTGATTTTAGTTAGATATAGAAATGTTCTAGAAGGAATGTTACTCCACACTTAATGTTCTATGATCTACCATATTCTAAAAAAACAATTGTGTACACTTAACTTAGTCTACTTATAAAGCCTTTCTTATTTAAAACTAGATATGGCACGGATCGTCATTTGACCGGATTACAACGGAGAAGAATTCCGGAAGTAATTCGTTCGTTACTTTTCGATAAAAGTCGTGCATGTTGACTGATGGTTCAAATCTGTTATGTGCAAGTTAAATGCGTTCACTCATATTTCACACTTACCTCTCGTAACTTATTACGAACTCAAACTGCAAAACAATTGTCTAAAATGATAAAAAAGTTAATGAAATATATCATTAACTAAAATTTCTGCAACAAATTATTGCATTTTTGAGTTTAGCTATAGTAGACAAAAGTTTTGATTCTATTATTTGTGGAACGACCAAAGAGAACTATATTCAGAATTAAGCAAAAAAAACATAAAAAATATTTTTCAAGCCCTGTAAGTAGTTTTCAGCGAACGCACATTTTCTGGAACAGCAATAATTTATGAAGACCGACGATTTAGATTAACTTCAATGAACGCAGAAAAATAGTTATTTATTATACACGGGAAAAAAGTACCAGATTTTAGCCCTCGGCTTTTTGTCTAATATAATAACATAACCTCGGAAACTGGTTCGAAGTCACTTAACCAGTTTCTGAAGAAGGTTGCAACATGGCATCCGAAACGTCAAACCTTTTCTTAAAAGACGCACGGCTAAACGCGAAAGTTTCTAGTATTAGTTCTAGTTTTAATTCAAATTTTAGTTCAATTAACTCCGGCCGTGAAAGCCTTCGTACGTATATAATTAAATATGGCTTTTTAATAAAATATAATTACTAACTAAGGTCTATTGAACATAAGGTTGCCCAATGCCGATTCTCCTCCTCTGAGGGGCAAGGTGGGTCAGTGACGTAGCTGGTTCGATGAACAACACAACACGATGCGAGGTTTAAATATTTTATATAGACTGTACCACAGTATAGGCTATCTTTTACTCAACTCTACTCTGACTGTATCGAACCAGTGACGTCATTCTNTTGTCTAATATAATAACATAACCTCGGAAACTGGTTCGAAGTCACTTAACCAGTTTCTGAGGAAGGTTGCAACATGGCATCCGAAACGTCAAACCTTTTCTTAAAAGACGCACGGCTAAACGCGAAAGTTTCTAGTATTAGTTCTAGTTTTAGTTCAAATTTTAGTTCAATTAACTCCGGCCGTGAAAGCCTTCGTACGTATATAATCAAATATGGCTTTTTAATAAAATATAATTACTAACCAAGGTCTATAGAACATAAGGTTGCCCAATGCCGATTCTCCTTCTCTGAGGGGCAAGGTGGGTCAGGGGCAAGGTGGGTCAGTGACGTAGCTGGTTCGATGAACAACACAACACGAGGTTTAAATATTTTATATAGACTGTACCACAGTATATTTACTCAACTCTACTCTGACTGTATCGAACCAGTGACGTCATTCTGCGGGGTAATAATCGATACTACAGAGGCATAGGGAATTAGGTAACCTTATGTTGTATAGACCTTGATTACTAACTTTTATTATAGTTAATTTAATGAGAACTTTTATTTTGTAGAGTTATTTTTATAATATTTAAAAAAATAAATGTTCTTTTTTAATAATTGTAAACATAAAATTTTATTGAAAACGAAATAATTTTCCTAATAATGTATTATGATCTGAATCCGAATTTACTGGATGATTCGGTCGGAACTGGATCTGCAATCAAATCACCGGATCAGTCGAAATCAGTACCAAGGCCGGATTTTCGTGCCATCACTGCTATTTAAAACTGACAGCTCCCAAATAATTTCATTTGTCCAACCGCCTATCAATTTGTGTCGTTAATTGGCATCAAATGGCATGTGATATATCATTGTAAATAGATTTTTTTATAGTTTTATAATACGTAATAAAATTGGGCATATTCCATTTAAAATTTTGAATATATTCGCTGTATCTAACACATTTGATGTGTGATTGTTTCTTTGAATACCTATGGCAGGTAATAGAATATTAAGTGTGTAGCAACTTTCCTTCTATAACATTTTGTTGTATCTCCAACATTAATTAAGATATCTGCTGTGACAACTAAAACCAAACACACTCTACCAGTTGTCCCTCAGAAGTGGCTCACCCCCATATTTTTTTTATTATTAGTGATATAAGAAAACCATTTGGAATGCATAATTAGGCTGTTAAAACGGATTATTACGACATGAAATCATTCTCTTTGTACTTCCAGTTATACCGGATGTGAGTACTAATTTCGCTATTTTTTCAAATTTATAATTTTTTTTCTTCAGCTGGGTAGACAGCATAATTTCACATAACTTTTACTTGAAAAAATTTTCACGATCGCTTATAATTAAAAAAAAAAATTATTTTTTAACGTTTCAGTACCACCTCGAGCAGTGTTCACTGCTGCTTTAGTCAGTGGTTCTTTTTTAATAATGGTGTAAATTAACAGTTATATTAAATCAGTTTTAAAAGAAAAACGCGATCAAACAATTATTAAACTTAATTGTTCAATTATTTTTGTTTTTTTATTTTTTTTTCTTTATTTTTTGTTCTTTTACATTAAATGTTCTGTAGCTGATAGTAACTTACAATGTACAATGTGAGGCATTAGAAAATAAACCGAGTTAGAAAATGTATTACCTAAATATCTCCGCAGGAATAACGTCGAGTTGTTGGATCGACAATACGCAAGATACAATTATGTCAAAATCGAGGCGGGGGGCATTTTGAAAATTTAGAAAACGATTTTTTTTGAATTTATAATTTAATTAAATTTAATTGCTTGATCGCGTTTTTCTTTTAAAACTAATTTAATACAACTTTCCTGCTCCTTCTACAAAGAACGACCGGATTTCCCTCAGCCATCTTTTATAACGGACAAACGAATCCATTTTCATTTGCTCAAATTCTCTTTAAGAATTGTAAGTTTGTAGAACTTTTTAACTTTTAATTTTATTTATTTATGTTCTAACTTTTGTAAGCTTTTAGTTTGATAAGAAATTTGACTAAACGATGCCGAAGAAACGACGCTTGTCGAAGATAAAATTCCGATCCAATTTTGAAATTTTTCCATTCACTAATAAAACACAACGCTCCCTTCAGGATCTTGAGAAAAACCTAATAGATGTTTTATACATCGTTTTGTGCTTTTGAGAATTTAAAGAAACTGATTCAACCCAACTTAGCCATACATATAATTTTTTCAAGGTCTTTCACATAACTGACGGTAAAACTCATTTTATTTCGATTATTTAACGTTTTTCACTAATTTCATGTTATTTCTAGTCGTGCCTAAAGAAGACAGCCAAGCTGTCGAAACATATGTAGGACTGATTGCAAAAATAAATAAAAGATTTTATCGTTAACCTATACATATATATTTTATACCTTAATTGATAACGATGAGCATGGAAGCTATTATATCAAAAAAAAAAGTATTTAGTCATGGTTGATTATCTAACAAAGTGGTTAGAAACTATACCTCTCAATTCAAAACAAAGTTAAGACATAATAAATGCTTTTAAGAATGTGCTGGACATTGTTGTGTCGGATAACATGCCCTACTCGTCCGGAAATTCGCAAAGGAATATAATTTTGAATTTAAAACCAGCAGCCCAAGATACCCAAGATGGTTTGGCAGAACGCTGTGTAAAGATAACTAAGAATATACTCCGTAAAACTAAAGATCTAGATGCTGCGTCGATGGAATATCGAAACACCAATTACAGAGTTAATGAGATGTCCTGCTGAACTTTTATTTTCTTGATAGATTAAAACGAATCAAGAGCTTTAAAAATCATTTAGGCAAGAAATAATGAAAAAATGCTATGACAAGGGAACAAAACCATTGAAAGACTTAAATGTGGGAGAAAGGATAGTTTATAAAAAGAACAAGCAATGGCACCTAGCTTGATTCTAATAACAATAATAAGTTAGGTAATAATGTAGAAAATGCTATTGTACCTATAATTAATTACAAATAATGAACAACCAATTGTTAATCTAAAAACTAAGCCGTCCCGAATAATGCGAAAGCCGAATAAATTTAACGATTTTGTGATATATTAAGGGCTTACATACACCTGAATAGGAAAAAAAAGATTTTACGATTTAAACTCATTCGAAAGTACTACACATTGAGTGCCTACCCTGAAAATGTCATACAAAAATTTCCAAAAATTACAGAGTTATTAAGTTTTGTAAGTAATAACAAGTAATAATGGTTCGGGTTCAAATAGACGCGGTGTTTCCCCTTTAAAAACTCCCATTGGATTCCCAGTATTGAAAAAAATATGTGTGGTGTATGTATAAGCATTTTACAATATAAGTTGGACAATTTACGCAGTGCTTTAGTCATTATCTAATCTTGGAGACGAATTGTTGTATGCAAATTAAAATCAATGTTATTGTGAAAATTTTACAAAATGGAACGACGAAAAGGTTGCGACAAAAACATCAGTCTGGTGAACTACGAAAGAATACGAGGAAGAAGAGAAAGGCGTCGAAAAATCAAAACCAAGCTGAGCAAGAGGAAATAAGTGTAACCACAGCCGCAAAAAAAAATTGAAAAATAAAAACACAGTGTTTGTTCCTGAAGAGGAAACTATGGGCTACCGAATACTTATTTTTTTCACTGTTTTTACTACTACTATATCTGAATGTGTGAAATATAAACAGTGTAGTGGAAACGTTGAATTCAAAACTGAAAG